GGCTAGAAAAAGATAGCTGCTATAAAACTACAAAGCTAATTTCCCATTACCATCAAGTCAGTAAGTCCTAGCAACTCCATATAGGATTTTCAAGATCATAAGTCCTTACTGAATTAGCCAGCCTCATCTTTCTCCTGCTGAGCAGCTGGTGGATTCGAACTGCATACCTTTAGGTTAGTAGCTCAATGTGCAAAGTTAATTAGGTATTTAAATACTGGTATTTTTATTTGACATGAAAAATTTCACAAGCTCTATGCAAAATTTTGGCTAGATAAAGAAGTAAAGAAATTGTTAGTGCCTAATGCTTTTAGAAGAAAGGATGAAAAGTTTTCAAAGTATTACATTTTGGGAAGGGAACATCAGAAAATACAAAGCAAAGAATACTTTTAAAACAATTAATTTCAACTGTGTTATTGACATAAAATTCACATATTGTAAATTCAAAAGTTTAAACATAATAAAGAGATTTTGTAATCATCATCACAATCAATTTTAGAACATTTTCTTCTTTCACATACATATTATTATTAGCTCCCCATATTCCCTCAACTTCCCCCACCATAACCCTAAGAAACGATTACTCCAGTAACTATCTCTACAGACTTACCTATCCTGGATTTCAAATACAGAAAACAAACAAACAAGCCAAAACAAAAACTAAAAAAGCCCAAACAACAACAAAATAGATCTAAATTAAAAGAAAACAGAAAATAATGAAAACCACAGTAAATGTAAAATGAGTCAAAAAGGGAAACTAATAATAAGGCATTAACTTTTATTCTAACCACATTTGCAAGAGTCCACTTTCCAATGCACTGTTTGATAGCAAGGCTATTCACATCCCTTATCAATGGTCAGTGGGGATTAATGAGGGACTTACTCCATAATAGTGACCCTGCCAATGGATTTCGGGCTTTCACTGTCATCCATAGCCTTCTACAAAATGGCGCTCAGAAATTAAATTCTAATACTAGTCCCTCCTCTCGTCTTGGATTTTATTATTTACAATCCTTGGCTCATACAGACTTGTGTGTTTCTTCTATGTGGACTGAGTTGACACCCGTTTTAGATGGCTGCTTGTTTTAAGATAAGACATTAAGACTGCAGACATTATCTTTTCTGCTAGCAGGGCACAGTTGATTCGTTTACCCGACTTCGCTAAAGCACCCATATCTTCAGTGATCTCTTCATGAGGGCAAGTACTGAGGAGGGCCATGTCAAAAGCACTAATTTTTCTTAGATCGGGACTATGGTTAAATGTGAACTAAAAATCCATTCATGTATGTATGCTTTATATAAGCCCTTGGTCCACTTTAGAGACATTGTTATCATTCTAATGGGGAACATTACATTTAATCCTATTGGAAATATGGCAATACTATTGATAGTATCATTAATTTAGCCAATGGTATAGGAATTTATAGAATTTTAAGTGCTGTTTAGAAAAGGAAAATATACATGTATTGACCAATGGGCCCAGAAGGTAGAGGGGGAAGAAGGAGGTGGGTAGAAGGGTGTGGTGAGCAGACATTGTATGGACCTGGAGACAACTAGGGAAGCGGAACCAGCATCTAGGAGAGGGTAGAGATCCTATGAGTATTAGAGCAACACCAAGCTAGTGAAGAGGAAGCACTAAGAGATGGAAGAAGGGGGGAAGTGATGGCAGAGCAGGAGGAGGCAAAAGGAAACAGAGGGAAGCTCTAGGAAGCAAAGGCATAGACAGGGAGATTAATAGAGGTGTGCACTTATGCAAATACATTCATCCACAACAATAGTGGTATTGGCCTATACCATATATTTATAAGGCATTACACTGAGGCTGCAGACAGGCCCTGGGCCTCAGCTCATAACTTCCCTCAATACAAGAACACTTTGTTCAAACAAACTGGCATTCTGTGATGCTCACCCCTGCTCTCCCACCCCCACCCCCATGCACATACACACTGTCGCTGAAGACAAAATGGGTGTATAAGCAGATGTGCTGGAGAGAAGACAGAAGATGGTGCCCGGCTATTAAAAGATACAGTGTCTGGGGTCTTAAAGGCTTGAAGTTAAACAAGCGGCCATCCAACAGTGAAGCAACAAGCCCACATGGAAGAAGCACACCAGCCGGTGTGATTGTGAGGTGTCGAGACTAGGCAATGGGCATCAGCAGATTCACAACAAACAGTAAACAAACAAATGCACTGGTGAGAATGGAGGGGGGTCAGAGCAGAGACTCAAAGCCCATCTATGGACAATGGAACACCGCCCCCGCCCACAGAGGGGTTGCAGGGAGGGGGTGAATCAATCAGGGTGTAGTAGAGCACTAATGGGTCAGGCAATATACTTCTGTTCCCTGGAGGCCTGCTCACACACCCCCACCCCGGCCATCACGACCTCAGTGCCGCATCCCTATCTAGGCTAGACGGGAGCATGTACATAGGTGTAGGCAAGAGATAAAGCTCACAGCACATGGAACCCAGGAACAGGAATGGGAACAGAGATACCAAAAGGGTAGGGGGAAGGGGTAAGAAGTGGGGAGGGAGGGGGCACCACTCACAATGAATGGCGCATAACCACACATCCCTCATCCAGGGGGAAGAACAACAGAAATCAGAGGGGAAGGGAGGCAGCAGTCAGTGTGAGATTTGAAAATAATTAACAATCTACAATCTATCAGGGGGCCACAAGGGTTGGGGTGGGGGGCTGGGGGAGAGGGAAGCAAAAAAAGAGGAGCTGATCCCAAGGGTTCAATGGAAAGTAAATGTCTAGAAAAAAAAGATGGGATATGAATATGTCGGATACAATTGATTTGTGGTTTGTAACCAGAGTTGTAAGAGCCCCCAATAAAATGATTTAAAAAATTACATGGATTATTGACTTGTACAAATTAAAAATGTAAGTGACTGGACACTGTTTATGCAAATAATGAGGGTTATAGATAAAGCAATATTTTCAATAACACTTAATTACAAAGGCAGAACTGTGCCTGCTAGACTAAGCCTGCCATTAAAAAAATCAGAGTGAGCATGAAAATAGCAAGCATATGGTAGTCTCGAGTTGTTATCTATTGGGCATCCTCAAAGCAAGAGATTAAAGCAAGAAATACATTTAAATAAAGTATTTCAAGCCACGATATGCTCAGCCATCCCTTAAATGAGACTGTATAACTCATCCAGACCTAGATATCTAGTGGGAAAGAGAAAATTCCAGAGGCAAAAGCTCTTTACATTTTACCTTAGAAGATAAGGCCCCAGAAAGAGCATTATTGGGGAAATCAAACATCACCTTTATACAAAGATTATTAAAACACAGGAAAATAACTGAAAGCTTTGAAAAATAAAGAAAGACCTTAAGGAACCATCAGGAGCTGCACTCACCAATACAGGTAATGCTGTAGGTGTAAGAAATTTTCATATTTGTTAACATTGATGACAGGTGTTTCTTAGGGTAGTTTGCAACTGAAGACCGTGTCTAATGTGAAATGCTTACATGGTGCCACTGGATTGAAAGGACACAAGGATGTAGTGATGGATGCCGGAAAGCAGTTGATATAACTCTTGAGAAAATAATAGGCCTCGCGAGTAATGGAGCTGACTATGATTGGAAAGACAAACGATGCTGTTATCTCACAGAAATAAAGGCAGAACTAATGTCAGGAAAGAATTCTCATGGCATTATATATTTTTCATGTTCTCTT